CTGGCGTAGACATCGTCCGGATCCACATCCGACATGGTCAATTGCGATAGTTGCGTCGTTTCATGGACAAACGACACTGATTGGACAAAATGCTGAAGATTATGAGATTAGTAAAGCTTTCTCCGTCAACAATGCGGTTTATGGAGTGCTCAGTGCTGAGATTTACTGCACAGAGTCTTACTTAACTTTTACGTGGAGCTCTCCGCAAAACTACAGTGTTAACGGATCTCCGGCTTCGAAGCAGCAGGTATGTCGCCGAGGATCATTTTGCATTTCGCAAGCAAGACCACAAATACCTCAGAACGATGGCGTTTCCACAAACCTTCCGCGCATACCAGTACGAGAACTATGGCCTGCTCGACAATGAGTTGAAGATCCAAAACAATGTGCCTCAGAAGGAACTCGGCGCGGATCAAGTCCGTATCAAAGTTCACAGCGCTTCGGTGAACCCCATCGACTACATGCTTCTAGAAGCGGTGGGCCAGTTGTTCTTGAGCAAGGCCCCCTCTACGGCCGAGCCGTTCGGCATCGGGTTCGACGCGGCTGGCGAGATTGTCGAAGTAGGTGAGGACGTCAAGCGGCTGAAAGTCGGTGATGCAGTCTACACCATGACGCCGTTCAGTGCGTTCGGCACGCTTGGCGAGTACTGTGCCGTGGACGAGCAGTTTGTGGCGATAAAACCCAGCAATCTCAACTTTGACGAGGCTTCGTCTGTTCCGCTTGTTGCCTTGACTGCCTACCAAGGCATATTCGACCACGCCAGGCTGCAGAAGGGTGAGACCGTCCTCATCCTAGGAGGCAGTAGCTCCGTCGGAATGTATGCAATTCAGTTTGCACGCGCCATCGGTGCACGGGTGATCACCACTGCCAGTGCGAAGAAGGACGAGTTCGTGAAGGCTCTGGGGGCTCACCAGGTCATTGACTACCAGAAGGAAAAGTGGCTGGATGTGGTGGAGCCGCACTCTGTGGATGCATTTTACAATTGTGGCATGGAGAATGCTGCCTGGAATGAGGGTGCTCAAGTCGTGTTGAAAAAGAACACCGGTCGCTTTGTCACGATCCTGCCCATGACGCAGCCTATTAAGGAGACCAAGTTTGGTGCACAATTGATCGGTGAAGTTCACATACACCCTTCTGCTGACAACCTCGTCTCTATCGCCAAGTATATTGAGGCCAAGGAGGTGAAGCCTGTCATTGATACGGTGTACCCGTTTGAGAAGGCACTGGACGCCTATGCCAAGCTCAAAACGCGCCATGCTCTGGGCAAGTTGGTAGTGAAGGTACAGCAGTAACCTGATGTATCATAGGAAGTCGGCAGAAAAAGAGGAAAGATTCGCGCAGGTAAACTCACTAAAACGAAATGCTTCTCATTATCCTTGAACAATTTATTTTTCTTACAGAATCTGCGCTGTAAATTTACAATAGACCCCACTACATTTTTGTGGGTGTTCTAAACGATATCATTGTTTTGTCATCTAACGTTAAATCTAGATAGTTGGTCGACAACCATGCTCATTAAAAAAAAAGATGTTCTCGATCTTACGACTATGAGATATCAAAGACAAGTTACATGTACTGGCGTGGCTTGGTCGGGGTGTCGAGGACGTGTACTCGACCTACGCTGCACATTCCTACTTATATGTTATTTGTCTAGTATTAAACAGTCAATCAACGTCAACAAGTTTTGATTGTGTGTCCATCAACAAAGACTTTGATGATACCAGATTACGTATTTACCTCAGAACGGAATCGGGTCCTCCTTGTATTTGCACTTTCATTTCTCTCTTCGGAAGCCTGGTTGGGGGTAATGTGATTTCCCAAGACCTACCGCGCGTACCAGTACGAGAACTACGGCCCGCTCACGAAGGAGCTTCAGCTACATGATGGTATCCCACAGGCTGAACTGGCAATTCTTCACCAGGTGCGAATTTAGGTCCGCGTCGCCGCCGCAGCTAAATCCATTGACCGCATGCTGATAGAAGGGCTCGGCCAAGCGTTTTTGAGCAAAACTCCGTTAGCGAGTCAGCCTTCAACATCGGATGTGATTGTTCTGGTGAAGTTATTGACATCGGTACTGCAGTCAAGCGTCTGAAGGTTGGTGACGCAATCTACACCATGACTCCATTCACTGCATTTGGCACGCTCGCCGAGTACCTTGTCTTGGACGAGGGATTCGTGGCGATAAAGCCCAGCAACTTGGCCTTCAACGAAGCAGCTGCAGTGCCTTCAGTAGCACTCACAGATATGCCGGCATGGTGAGGCATGCGAAGCTTCAAAAGAGTGACATCATGTTCATTCTTGGTGAGAGCAGTTGCGTCGGAACGTTCGCTGTGCAATTCGTGCATGCCATGGGTGTCTGTGTGGTTGCTACGACAAGTTCGCGGAATGTTGAGCTGGTGACGTCGCCCAAGTCATTGACTACACCAAAAACAAAAATGGGTAGATGTTTTATAGCCGCGCTCCATCGATGCTGTGATATGGAACCCTCGGTTTGGAACGATGACGCTCAATTGATTCTGAAGAAAATACGGGTCGTTTTATCACGATTTTTCCGATGGCAAAGCCCGAAAAAAGAGTCCGAGTTCGGTGCCCAGCTTGTCGGTGAGGTCTACAATACTGATCCATCCGCTGAAAAGTTCGATACGATCACAAAGTACATCGAGAATGGGAACGTCAAGCCATTATCGACACGGGTGTATCCGTTTGAAAAGGTGCTGGATGCCAATGCCAAGTTGAATACGTACCGCACGAGGTAAGCTCGTTATTGTAGTAGATCCTTGAGGTTGTTCTGGTCGGTCCGAAGAAATATATATAT